TTGGCTCCCACTTCTGTCTCAGCCAATGAGAAGAGAAAGTCCCGGTATAGCCGAGACTCCAGTGCACATCTCTGGATCAAGAGGGGGCCTAGGTGAGTATTAGGGGGGGGGCGGTGCTGCACAGAGAAGGTATTTTACCTTCATGCATAGAATGCAGGAAGGTAAAGAAGCTTCAGCCTTTACAACCACTTTAAAGAAGCCCAGACACAGGAAGAGGCAAGAGTCCCAACTTATGCCCTTGCACCCAGGCCCATTGCATTCAGAAAATGCCCCCTGATGTGAGAACTAAGCACTGCGCTGATGCTTCCTCAGGGGTCAGGCTTAGGTTACATTCGCATAGGTGACCAGCCCCAGTATGAATGACAGCAGCAGGAATCTGCTAATTCCTGCTGCTGATTTTGCCATCTGTGAGCGGTTAGCTGTGGACGCTGAGCCCTAGACAATTCAAAGACAGGCTGCTGGCAGCCCCTGCTACCCTGCGGATATCTGTACAGCCAGCAGTTACCTGTGGTGATCACTGCTGGGCGCAAACAAAGTGCATCCTGCAGCAATCACTGCAGGTAGTCACTGGCTGTGCCGATAGCCATGGATAACTGTAGTAACTAAGGACCTTTTATTGAACTGTACAGAGCTTGGCGGGCCGCAGCTAGCCACTCACATGTGGCAAAATCAGCAATAATTCCTGCCGCTGTTACCTGCACCGGGGCTATTCGCCTGTGCAAATGTATTCTTATTCATTCTGTACTCACAGATCATCCTCAGTCTGGGCTTCATTCATCTTAGGACATGGCTGGAAGGTATTAACTGCTGGGAGCAGCTCCGGACATGAGATGAGTGGTGCTGCCAGAGCTGCTTTTTCACAAAAACCTTACTGGGGCTTTTTTTGCCTAGAGATGGACTTTAAACTGCTGGAGTACATTAGAGAGATTCACAATATCTCCGAGAATGAATGTGAAGGTAAATCCAAATTTTTGAGTTGCCATCAGACCAGGAATAAAAAGGAAATCTTTCAATGGAAACCTGTTACCGTGACAGATGGCTGGAGGGAATTTCCCTCACATTGGAAACATATCCTTTATGTGGGAGGAAGTAAAGGGAAATCTCTTTTAAGAGACTCTCACAAGCGTTAAAGAAATTTCAGGTAAAAGCACAGAAACATTCCTTATAAAAGCTTACTTGTAGTGTGTTTTTCTTTTCTGTAACATATTCCCTTACAATGTGATTTTCAACTTGTTTGAAAATGTAGTACTCCAGGAGAGTCAATTCCGTAACACAACCTGCTCCCTCCTTGCACATAGCCCTCTCCTCCTGTGTCTACTTACTGTCTGTGCTGGCCCAGCTCCTCTGCCCTTCACTTCCCTATATAACTGTTTATGTAGCAGCCAGAGAAGATGACGGGGAATACTATAGGGCATGGGTGTCAAACTGGCAGCCCTGAAGCTGTTTACCAAACTACAAGTCCCATGACGCATTGTAAGATTGATATTTACAAGCATGACTCCCAAAAGCAGAGGCATGATGGGACTTGTAGATTTGCAACAGCTGGAGGACCGCCAGTTTGACACCCATGCAATAGGGTATCATGTGAGTGACAGCTCTGATTCTGCTGGGGCTGCTGACATCACATCCAAGAAGGCAGTGCCCAGGAGCAGTCTCAGGACTTTTGGATGCCTAAAAAGAGAGACTTTTACAGCTATAAAGCATGCATAAAATATGGTAAATGTGCATATAACTTATAGGCAAAAAAATCAGCCATTAGTACACCCCTACACAAAACACTAAACAGTTAATAACATTTTGAAAATCTTTACCATTTAGTAGAAAAACTCAAATTTAATTTTCATGACCTAATTTCTGTAGTTCAAAAGATAACAGGATCTGCTCTGCCAAGAAGGAGGTGTAACAGCAGGGATCACATTATATCCTCTCTTCTCTCTCTGCAGTAAAAGGAAACTACAGTTCCCATCAACCACAAGGAATTATGAATGTGGGCGGGAACACTAGGCCTGTGCATGGTGAATGTGTCTGAGGGCTAATTCACACTAGAGGCAATTCAGTGCGCTTTTTTTCTGCATCAAAAATGCATGCACAGTGTTTTCTATGTATTCCCCCCCTCTTAGATTGTAAGCTCCAAGGAGCAGGGCCCTCCTAACCCTCTTGTATTGAACTGTATTGTTGCTGTATTGTCTCCTGTTATACTGTAAAGCGCTGAGCAAACTGTTGGCGCTATATAAAATCCTGTATAATAATAATGTATTCCAATGGCCCTGGTTCACACTAATGCAGTCAGTTTCTGATGCAAGAAAAAAAAAGTAGAACATACATTTTTTCTGCACAGAACCAAACTGGAACATGGTAAACTGCATCAAAACTGCACCGGAACTGCGTGTGTGGTGTGTGAACTGTAAGCAAAAAACATATCCGGAATGAATCCGGAGTGCATTTTTGTAGTAGTGGGCTGAATTACATCACTGCTTCCTGGAAAACAAACTACAGAATGGATGTGCTAAGACCAGTGGTTCGGGGAATAGCAGGCAAACAGGAAACCAAAGAGAATTAACGGTTTGATTTGAAAATGAATAGGTTATTATAGAGCAGCTACTGAGTGAACCAGAAGATGGATGACGTATTCAGTGAAGGTAGGAAATCAGCAACAAGGACATGTAAAGAAGTCCCGAGACACCCTCTAAAATTATGGACAGTCCCGAGGCACCCTCTAAAATTATGGACAGTCCCGAGGCATCCTCTAAAATTATGGACAGTCTTGATGCACCCTCTAAAATTATGGACAGTCCCAAGGCACCCTTTAAAATTATGGACAGTCCCAAGGCACCCTCTAAAAACTATGGACAGTCTTGATGCACCCTCTAAAATTATGGACAGTCCCGAGGCACCCTCTAAAATTATGGACAGTCTTGATGCACCCTCTAAAATTATGGACAGTCCCGAGGCACCCTCTAAAATTATGGACAGTCTTGATGAACCCTCTAAAATTATGGACAGTCCCGAGGCATCCTTTAAGGTTATGGACAGTCCCAAGGCACCCTCTAAAATTATGGACCGTCTTGATGCACCCTCTAAAATTATATACAGTCCCGAGGCACTCTCTAAAATTATGGACAGTTCCGAGGCACTCTCTAAAATTATGGACAGTCCCGAGGCACCCTTTAAAAATATGAACAGTCCTGAGGCACCCCATTCTAAAATGTAAAAAACTATTCTAATAACTTAGGTAAACAAATTAAAAAAGTGAGCGCTAATCAGTTCAGCAGCTGTACACTCAAGGCAACCAGTAAAACCTCAATAAATAATATCAAAGAAAATAATGTAGTGCTTAAATCAATAGTCCTTAGTTATTCCCGATCAGTGGATGTTCCTCAATACGGAATGTAAGAAATGCCCACTCACACGGAACCACACTTGATACAGTGCAGTGTATAATAGTTATTCCCTGGTGTCACTGGAAGTATACATCTGGTGCAGCCCTTGGAAGAGTATCCCTCTATAGATCAGACCGGTCCAGGGTCACAGCAAATAAGGCTCCGACACAGAGTTCCCCTTAAGGGATGTGTGGGTGTTTACTCTTGCAGCAGATAGAACCTCCCACTCTGGATGGAATCGGAGTAACACAGCTTCTGAAAAAAAGGGGGTTCTCCCCATGCGGGGTCAAAGCAAAAAGATGCCCATGGTGTGATATTGTTTGAATAAAGCGAATTTTATTAAAAGGATAAAGGATGCATCCAGTAAATGGCAATGGGAACAGCAGAAGACAATAAAGCACTAACCGTCCCTAGAAGGAAATGGCCGCCGGAGCTCCACGATGCTCCAACGGCGTGGCGTCAACGGCGCGAGCAGGCTCCTCCTTACGCGTTACGTGCCACGCACATCGTCAGGGGCTCTTCTGCCGTTCCCATTGCCATTTACTGGATGCATCCTTTATCCTTTTAATAAAATTCACTTTATTCAAACGATATCACACCATGGGCATCTTTTTGCTTTGACCCCACATGGGGAGAACCCCCTTTTTTTCAGAAGCTGTGTTTTCTCCGATTCCATCCAGAGTGGGAGGTTCTATCTGCTGCAAGAGTAACACCCATGTATACTTCCAGTGACACCAGGGAATAACTATTATACACTGCACTGTATCAAGTGTGGTTCCGGTGAGTGGGCATTTCTTACATTCCGTATTGAGGAACATCCACTGATCAGGAATAACTAAGGACTATTGATTTAAGCGCTGCACTATTTTCTTTGATATTCTAATAACTTGATATAATGCAGCAACATCCACACATGTAGGACACCCAACATTAGAAGTGATTTATTCTTCCAAAGCAAATATTTTTTGCATACTGGTACTGACTAGTATTCCATTATTTCTCTTCTCCCTCACAGTTTTTCTACATCACTGAGCTAAAGTGACCCCAGCACTGATGGAGAGGGGCAGGGGAGGGCCAAACAAGGATGCTGTGTAGGCAGCTGACATACTCCTTAACAACTGATGTCATTGGTTGTCAGGCACCTAGACAGTTGTAATGGTGCACAATGAAAACCTATGGCTTTGTGCAACTAAAAGGCTTGTTCCAGCCACTGGCTTGTATACAAATTTGGGGCAATTTTTTCGACATTTTGCCAAGGCACCCCCTGAAGAATCTTCAAGGCACCCCAGTCGAAAAAAGCTGGAGTTTACCATAGATGCAGCTACAAACTTATAAACACTGCCATCTACTGGTTAAAGAATATATCTCTACTTAATACTGATGTAGTTGTACAAAATTATTATTATTATTATACAGTATTTATATAGTGCCAAAAGGTTTGCTCAGCACTGTACATTAAAGTGGGGAACAGTACATGAGACAATACAGTAAAAATACAATACACAAGGGGTTTGAGGGCCTGCTCTTTCAAGCTTACAATCTAGGAGGGAGGGGGTAGAGGTACAGGAGGAAGTGGCTGTGGGGGATGGAGTGGTAAGAGGAGTGGAGGAGAACAGCTGTTAGGTGAGGGTGGGGTAGGCTTCCCTGAAGAGATGGGGTTTCAGGGTGCGCCTGAAGGTGAGGAGGGTAGGTGACAGTCTGATGGATTGGGGTAGGGAGTTCCAGAGGATGGGGTAAGTCCTGGAGAAGTCCTGCAGTCGGGCGTGGGAGGAGGAGACCAGGGAGCTAGAGAGTAGGAGGTCTTGTGAGGAGCGAAGGGCACGGTAGGGTGGTATTTGGGTATCAGGTCAGTGAGGTAGTTTGGGGCAGCGTTATGAATGGCTTTGCATGTCTGTGTTAGTAATTTGAATTTAATGCGTTGGGCAATCGGGAGCCAGTGAAGGGATTGCAGAGGGGGGTGGCAGAAGTGGAGCGGTTGGTGAGGTGGATGAGTCTAGCCGCTGAGTTCAGGATAGACTGAAGCGGAGATAGCCTGTGTTGGGGTAGGCCGGAGAGAAGGGAGTTGCAGTAGTCCAGACGTGAGATAATAAGGGAGTGTACGAGTTGTTTAGTGGTGTCTGGGGTGAGGAACGAACGTATCTTGGAGATGTTGCGGAGGTGGAGCCTGCATGAATTTGATAGTGATTGGACATGAGGTTGGAAGGAAAGGTTTGAGTCCAGGGTGACACCTAGGACTTTGGCGTGTGGGGTGGGATTGATGGTAGCGTTGTTAGTCGTGATGGAGAGGATGGGGGGGAGCACGGGCAGGGGGGGAAAACTAGGAGCTCGGTTTTGGAAAGGTTTATCTTGAGGAAATGGAGCGACATCCAGTCTGATATGTCATTTAGGAGGTGGGGTGATGCGGGCGGAGAGTGAGGTGGAGAGGTGATAGTTGAAGCTGTGGGAGTGTATCAGTTTGCCAAGGGAGGAGGTGTAGATGGAGAAGAGAAGGGGTCTGAGGACAGAGCCTTGGGGGACCCCAACAGAGAGGGGGAGAGAGGGGAGGTGGCAGCGTTATAGGTAACGCTGAAGGAGCGTTGGGATAGCTAAGAGGAGAACCAGGAGAGAGCAGAGCCCCTGATGCCGAGGGAGTGTAGATTAGTAAGGAGGAGGGGGTGGTCGACTGTGTTGAAGGCCGCAGAGAGGTCGAGGAGTAGGAGGACTGAGTAGTGGCTGTTAGCTTTGGCGGTTAGCAGGTCGTTAGTGATTTTAAGTAGGGCAGTTTCGGTGGAGTGTAGGGGACGGAAGCCAGACTGTAGAGGATCAAGGAGGTTGTTGTCAGTGTGAGGTGGGCGCTTAGGCGATTGAAAATAAATGAACACTGTATTCCAACAGATAGGATGCTATCACTGCTTGGCAAATAATTATCTTTTTTCTTTTTTTTATTATTAATATCTTTTATTAAATTTTTTTTCAATACATAATACAACAATTCAATTTATCAAAACATGAACAGTCCAACTAAACATGTTTAACCCTCAATCCATCCCTCCTTATCCCTCCCTACCCAATAATTACCCCTGTCCAGATAGTTATTTCTATTTCTTTCTTAGGGCTCATGTACACGGGGCGTTTGCAAAAATCTTCTGAATGATGGAAACTGACTGCTAGAAAACGTAGGTTAAAAAAACGTCAGTTTAGCTGCGTTTGCATACCGTGTTTATGCGTGTTTGCGTTTAGAAGCTTTTTTAAAAGATAACCTCAGGAGACCTTCCCAAAAAATTATTTCAGACATTTTGAGAAGAATAGAGAGAGCAGAAGCAGAGAGAGCAGTATATATTGAGATTACCTGTCTTTTCTGGTTGTATTCACTATGGATCCTATCATGAGCATAATGCAGCACTTTCTACCATTTTTTCCTTCATGCGAATCCTGGAACTGACTGCACTGGTGTACTAGGTCAATTTCAATACAGACGCTTTGCATGCATTTCTGATGATGAAAAAAGCTCTGAACAGCATCTAGACATGGAACAGTTAAAAAAACTGCGTTTACAAGCATTTATACGCGTTTACAAGCGTTTGGCATTTGAAACGCTGGTAAATTCTACTTCTGAACGTAAGTTTGGTGCGTTAAAAGACACGACTGTATACTCAACTGCCTGTAAATGACTATGTGTACATGGACTGCTGGGGCTGCTGAAAAAAAAAAAAAAAACGCAGAACAGCTCCTGAATGTCAGCTTAGGAACTGCAGTGTACATGAGACCTTAACCTGTCTACTAATCGCAGTCAAAACCCTATATTCTCTTTTCACACTATAACTTTCCATTTATTCAGTTTAGTTCTCCAACTCTACTACCTGGGCGCCCATTATTTCAAGATATTTTTCAGATGGTTTAAAAACATACCACCTGCTCCTTTCTTTAATACATTTTTCCATTCTATCTTCATCTATATGGTATAACTCCTCCATCTTATTTATATACTCAATCCTCTCTATCCAATCTCTCATTGTTGAAACAGAAACTGACTCCTCTGTGGGCTGCCTTAGGGCTCATGTACACTGCTGCTGATAAACTCACGTTTAGGAGCTGTTCAGCATTTTTCAGCAGCCCCTGAATATGCCTGTGTGTCCATGTACACATCTTCATGTACAGTCGTTTACAGGCATTTGAGTTTACAGTCGTTTTTTTTAACCCAGAAAACTTGCGTTCAGCAGTCGATTTTATCAGCGTTTCAAATGCAAAATGCTTGTAAACGCGGAAATCAGGTTCATAGGCGTTTGCATTCAAAATTGTTTTTTAACTATTCCAGTTCCCGATGCTGTCCAGAGCCTTTTTTCATCGTGAAAAATGCATGCAAAGTGTTTTCAAGGTACTCAAATGGACAAAACACTGAACACAGGATGTTTCTACCAATCTTGTCACACATTGTAATGACCAATTCATACCTCAGACCTCTCCCACCCTTGGAAACAAAAGATATGTTAATGACCATTCACACCTCAAATTCCTCATGAAGACCCCATGCCAGGTGGCCTTAATGACTCACTCCACCAGACACCTTTCCCAACCTTGGAAACAAAAGAAATGTTAATGAGCAACTCACACCTAAGCTAATCTCAACACATACTGCTGTCTCTGCTTCTACTCTCTGTATTTCTCTAAAACAGTCTGAAATAGTTAATAATTTATCACTTTTCATTGCATTCTGGGCAATTGGGAGGTTCTCCTGTGCTTATCTTTAAAAAATGCTTCTAAACACAAAAGCGCATAAACGCGGTATGCAAATGCAGCTAAACAGACGTTTTTTAACCTACGTTTTCCAGCAGTTTCCATCGTTCAGAAGTGTCCCGTGTACATGGAGCCTTAGACTAAACTTTCACTTATAGTGGTTTACCATAGCAAATACCAACATTTTAACAGATGTACACATTTTCCATTTGTAGT